AAAGAGGTGAAAACCACAAAATCAGAGCTATCAAGAGTGATCACAAGCCCCCATAAAAACTTTGTTGAACTACAAGAGGCAATATATTACGAGGGCGCCATATTTCTGGTCTATGAGATCATAGATATTTCCTTAGGTCAAATTTTCAGCTTACCCCTTGGTCGCCTTCAGCTTTTTGAAGTGGCGGCCTTTTTACGGGAGATTTTGGCAGGCCTCGAGCATATTCACAAACGTCTGAAGATAACCCATGGAGATATATCATCGAGCTCTATTCTTCTGTTAGTAACGGGTGCCGTCAAGATAGGTATGCTGTCATGATAAGAGAAGTCAATTAAATACTAAATGAACTAGGAAATCTAGGAACCTCTATGCTTCAAAATAACGATATTAGGGACTCACAAAGTGACATTGAGTCTGTCAGCAACATAATCATTGAATGTCTTGAGCCGAGTACATTCTTGCGAAAAGTTGGCTCTCTCGTGTCTGACTGGGGATCTAACGCTATAGATTTTGTTGAGTCTACCAGATCACAGCCTGCCAGTCAACTCCTGAAAGTCAGTTTTCCTTCTTGGGTATCCTAAATCCAGTTTAACGATGACTAGCATGATTTTTTACAGCTCTCTCCGGGAGCCGCGTGCCTCAAGCCATATATTCGGTTTTCCCGAGAGGTAGCTGCTAAGGAAGTAGAAGTTATTTCTGAAGAACTTAGGATGAAATAGAGAAGAATACATATAGCTTGTTCATTTCTATGTTTTCCAAACGTGAGGAAAAAGAAGAACTCTATTTATTCAGTTACGCAATACTTGCATACAGCCGATCAAACAGTATTTTAACTAATCAAGTAGTATATGAGATATACATTCAGTGGGCGGAAATCGTGGTAAAACTTGGGACAAGTATTATCTCATGATCCTTTTGATTCGTGGGATTATCAGCGTGGAAGAAAATCGTAGACTATTGATTGCAAACCAATTATATGGTAGTTGTAACAAATTAAGTATTATCTTAGATACAAAATCAATTCTTGTTTGATTCAGCAAATGATTCAAGTTGGGGAAATGGTGGTAAATCTTAGGATAGATATCATCCTATGATCTTTTGGACCCTGAGAATATCAAAGTGGACGAAAATCGTGGTGTTTCTTAAGATACCGGTAGTCTGACGGGTGCTTGATTCATAGGGAATCGCCGAGAGTTACAAAGGATTGTGACATTTCTTACGACAGAAATTGTCGTATGATCTCGCGGTTCGCAAGAGAATCAGAGCTCGTGGAAACCGTGGTCTTTCCTGTGATAGCGATAATCAAAGGACCCTCGGGTTCGCGAGAAGACCAGATTTACAGAAACCGTGGTTTTTCCTATAATACAGATAGTCTGATGATCATTCGGTTCGTAGGAGCTTAAAGCGCGCGGAAACCGTGGGGTTTCCTAGGATCTGCCTAGTCTAACGATATCTAGGCTCCCCCGAATAGGCTTAGAGTAAAAGAAATCCGTGGTTTTTCCTATAATAGAGATGATCAGAAGACCCCGGCCTTCGCGAGAAAATTATAGTTCGCGGAAACCGTGGTTTTTCCTAAGATAAAGAGAATCGGACGTTCTTTTGGTTCATGAGACACTATAGGCGCGTAAACCACCCAACTAATTGGTTCATTAATATATGGCCCATATATCGCCAGTTTTTATGGATTACCCAAACCACGACTTTGATCTATAAGAACCACGGCTTTCGTATTTAGAATGAGATTTCCTGTATTATAGGATACTCCAGATACCTTTACGGCCGGTTCTTAGTTATCGCACAACGCTATCCGACTAAGTGCTAAGTTTTCGGCATAGCGACTAAAGATCTAGAGACTACTTGCAAATTAACCGTAGCCCACATCGGCTCTTTCAGAGTCAGAGAACTAGATCAACTTTTATTTGAGGGAAGTAATATTTATAGGTCTCGAGCCTTTAGACAGTTATATATTGATCGTCTTATTCATCGATTCGAGCATAAGGGGTATTAACGACTAGACCCTCTTACCTAGATCCTATGCGAAGTGTCTTCTACAGACCTAGGCCACTTACTTAGTAAAGGCTTACCCGTTAGTTATTTTAAGGATTTAGAGCTGCCACAGGGTCAGAAGCTACATTACTACTAGGGGCAACACCGGATTGCTACTACGCTTTAATGGCTCGACCTAGGCGATTACTAGTAGGCTTTCGATTTATATAACTCTGCAAAGTTAGACGATGACTATCATAGGAGATTACGCGAGTATGATCAAAGCTCCCAGAGCTTTACAGATAGAGACATTTTTCGCAATACACGTTACTACCAGTAACGAGGAGAGACAGAAGCCGCTAAGGAGTGGCTTACAAAATAGTTACCTACCAAGTATCGCGAATTCAACAGAATTTACCACCCTAAGGAAAACAAAGACGCTTTTCTCAATTTAGGGCAAAAGCTAGACTTACTTCTTCAGTTCCTAGTGTTATAGAAGTCTTGGTTCATAGGGACACACCTCCCTAGCCTCAAATGCCCCGAGGTATAATATTCCTATAAGATATTATCGCCATACTAATGTTAATAGGAGCTTATAGATTCTTTGGGAGAGATTTTTGAGGTATGGCAGTCACTAACGTACCTCAATCCCGTGATCCTAGATCTAACAACCCTTACCTTATTAGAAGGTAGATACCTACAATTATCTATTGCTGATTGTGAGTATATTAATTAAATATTCTAAGATAGGAGTGCCTTTTAAGATATCAGAGACTATGCTATAAGGGCCCAGCTCCGATACGCCGCTTTAGGATACCTAAAAATCATACCTTCACTTCAAATATTTCTCAAAAACACTAAATACCTCAAGGCTATAACTGATATCATTAAGAGGGTGCTCCCTCCAAAATTTAAGGGCACTATAAGGGAGTTAATGTTCAAGTACTACGTCTGTCCTTGCGACTTGAAACATTAAGTTCAAATTTCAGAAAACGATTATATTCAAAAAGTAGGGTTAAAGGAATACAGATTTTAGGCAGCCTACAGACAGTTATTCCTTTTCTCTATACGCTATTTCTATGGCCTTACAGATTCTCGGCCGCTTGGCGTAGGCCAATCCCCTTTAAAAGGAAGGTTCGATACTTCTGAGCTATAGACGCGGTTTAAGCTGTATATAAACAATATTGGATTTATCTTTCTAGGATCAAAGTTCCTTAAAAATTCTCATCCAACAGGTTCTATCGAATTTGCCACCATATATGGAATCTTAACTCAGCTACGCCCCCTAGAACTCTTTATATATAATGAGTTTAGAGTCAGGGAATGTAGTAACCATATTACCGCTATTCTTAGGGACATGGTTCCACGTAAGATTGACAACCCGCTAGTAATCCAAAGTTTAGACAACCAAGACGACTGGGCTTTAGAGCGACACTGTGGGATAACAACCTTAAGCACCTTCCTCTTTGACCAAAGGTACCTATTCCTACATAATGTATACTCAGCAGATCAGCCTGCTCGCGTAAATATGACATCGTTCACCGTTAAGCGCGATATCTTTAGGTCATTCTTTCTAGATTTCAATAATAGAAATGCTCTAGACCTACCGATATCTTCTATGCCTAGGCCTACTAATAGTGGGTCAACTCCTGGCCAGATTGATAGTATAGTATATGTTACACCAGTGGATCCAGTGCCAATGAACAATACGCCAATGGATGATGTACCAATGAATGTTACACCAATGGATGTTACACCAATGGATATTACACTAATAGACAATGCGCCGATACAACTTGTGCTAATAAACACTGCCCTAGTGGTATATAAGCCTTAGCGTATACCTCAGTCAACTTTACTTCTTCCAAATGTTAGGCCTTCCCACAATAAAATATCCATTATCAAGCAGTTATCGAATATCTGCAGCTATCAACTCAATATGACCCCTAAGTCATTTTATGCTTCGTTCCAGCCACTTTCGGATAGTTGCTAGTTTATTATCTTCTTCTTTCTGTCGGACAGTATCGTTGACTTTGTCCGTCACTACAAAGACGGCGTACTTGCCAACCTATGTGAGGACGATCGATGGTTTGCCTAAGCCCGTGAAGACAGAGAAAAACTTCAAATACTTTCCGTAGATCAGGTCTCTAACAGGTGCCGCTAAGGCCCTTATCTGATAGTTAGTGGAAAAGGCTATTTTAACAGCACATTACAACTGGGTCCTATTAAGAAGCTGTTTCTTCCGATATATAACGAAAATACAAATCACTGGGTACTGCCAGCTCAATAAGTCACTTAACGTTTAGTTCTACACCTTAAATCCGCATTTCGTTCTTATGCTATTCGTTAAGCCACTTTCCTAGTCTAACCCTACAATCGAAGGGCTCAACTGATAGTATATATAGATATAAGCAGTTCGAATTCGTCATACAAGAACTCTGCCATTTCATCTAAGTATAGGTCCGGTTTCTCTAGCAAGTAGTGGTATAGCCCTTCTAGCATAACGGGTATGATCACACAAGGACAGCTACCGGGAATCAAGGGTGCTCGGACATTGCTAAACATTCTTAGGTTCGCACTAATGGTTATAATTGAACGTATACTACAGCCAGCCGCTTCGGCTATCTAAGAAGTAGTCAGCGATCTACTACTAATCGTATCGCGGATCATCTCAAGCTAAGAGGGTGCAAGTTAGGGCGCGATAATAGTCTTTATCGCGCTGTTAAGCGACGAAGTTAGAAAGGTGGCTACAGGCTGTAGGGTACAAGGGTAGGACTCTCCCGGGTCAGTTCGGGCCGACAGTCGAACCAATAATAAGCATCCACTGGGTCTGTGTTCTTATTAAGGCATGATTAGTCAATCATATTAGCACCTGAAATAGAGTCTCCTAAGCTTACCCCTCTTAGTCTCCTCAGATAAGCCCTTCCTAGAATCCCAAACCCTAATTTTCAAACTTCAGTCGCTATCGCGCCTACCTTGGTTAGCATATTGGCCTTTATACCATATCCTTCTAAATGGATGGAATATCCTCGGCTGCGAGCGTTATCGCGGTTATTCAACTGACAGGAAGCCTCGTAAAGCTTTATAGGGGCTATATTTAAGAGCTTAAAGATACACAAGACGAAATTCTTTCTCTATAACGGTCGATTAAAGGCATCCAAAGGACGCTCTAGGACCTGCAGAAATTTCTTATGGGTAACGACGGAAAGACCCTATCTACCTCCTTACGACTAGCAAATACTATTACCAATTGCCTCTCCGACCTCCAGGGTTTAGAAATAAAACTTGATCCAGGAAAGGGAAAGAAGCTGATAAGAAAGGTGGGACTATAAGCATTGAAGTGGCCCCTAAAGCGCGCAGAGGTAGAAAGTATGATACAGAACCTAGAGAGATATAAATCTTTATTCCTTTTATCCCTACAGGTGGATCAAACGTATATTTATCCAACACGAGTTTATGACTCTATATATTAACTTAGACTTCAGATAGCTCTCTGATCGTCGGTATGGTCCAGAATGCCGATCGGATTAACTAGAATATAGATCTTACAAAGTTAGACGGTGCGATAGAGGTAGGGTTTGAGTCATTCTCCAATCGGAACGAAGCCCAATGTCTCTAAGGCACTAGAACCGAGCTCCTTCAGAAGATCACAGACTAGGCTTTATCACTATCTTATAAAAAATGCATTTTCTGGTTAAAGGGAATGGCGGGGATAGGAAAATCCACAATATCTCGGACTATAGTAAGGTCGCTTAAGGACACCAACTATTTAGGCGCCAGCTTCTTCTTCAAGAGGGGTGAAGGGGACCGAGGTAACACAAGGAAGTTTTTTCCGACATTAATAAGGCAATTAATTTTCAGGATCCCTAGGCTAAGAGCTAGCGTACAAAAGGCATTCGATAAGGACCCTAAAATTGCGATAAAATCGCTTAAGGAGTAATTTAAATAACTACTCCTCTAGCCGCTACTTAATCTTAACTAACCCAACCGATACCCTAAAACCACTGTTATTGTGATTGACACTCTAGATGAATGTGATCATAATCAAGATATCCGAACCATAATTCAATTACTACCTGTTCTATAAAGGGTGAAAGCAATTCACCTTCGTATCTTCTTAACCAATAGGCCTGAACTCCTAATCAACCTTGGCTTTTTAGAGATTGCAAATCATAAATATCAGGACCTAGCTCTTTATAAGATACCAGAAGAAGAAACAGAGCACGATATATTTTTATTCCTATAGGACCAATTTGCGAAGATCAAATACAATAAGAACATTTCTGAAGATTGGCCTAGCAATAACGTTATCTAAGCATTAGTCAATATATCCGTTCCACTGTTTATTTCGGCTGCTACTGTATGCCGTTATATCGAAAATTCAAGATTAGAACCTAAATCACACCTCTCGGAACTCCTAGCGAACCAAGCTAAATATATATTAAGAATAGATAAGATATACCTACTAATCCTAACTCGATTACTGGACAATCAAGATAGTAACGAGTCAGAGTAGCAATAGCTCTTACAAGAGTTCCAAAAAGTAATCGGTATTATTATCCTTCTTACCGTCCTGCTGTCGATCAATACGCTGTCGCTGTTTCTTAAGATAGGAGTAGATCAGATTAGTAATCTATTAGATTTATTTCAATCGGTTTTAAGTATTCCTTCTAACCGAGATCAGCCTATTCAAGTTCTATATCTATTATTTCGGGACTTTTTAGTCCGATCTGGAGGCGAGTTTCATGTAGATGAGCTAAAAATGTATAAAGATATTACTAGGTCCTGTCTCAAAGCTATGCGGAGTCGTCTACAGAAAGATATCTACAATCTAGTAAGCCCTAGAACGTATAGGGCAGACATTAACCCTCAATATATCCACCAGTATCTCCTATAAGAATTACAATACTCTTATTACTACTGGATACACCATCTCGAATAAAGTCGGGATTTATCTTCTAAGATAGAAGATGTACAGTTATTCCTCCAGAAGCATTTTCTACACTAGGTGGAAGCCATGAGCCTACTGGGTCTTATATCGGAGGTAGTAGGTATGCTTAATCATTTTTATATAATGATCCTAGTAAGTAATGTACCACATAGCCATTTAAGATATATACTAATATATATAGGGTGACGGCAATTTAATGATCTCGGATTTTTTATATAACATAAAGCGCTTTGTTCTGAAAAATCGCTAGATAGCCGAAGAAGCACCACTCCAGATTTATTGCGTAGGATTAGTATTTATACCTCAGACTGTAGTTATTTGTAGAGAGTTTAAGTCAGAGCTTCCTGCTTTAATAGGCCAGTTGCCATAAGTTAACGAAAAATGGGGTATGGAATTATAGGCTCTAGCGGGTTATTTAGACTAGGTTATATCGGTAGCCTTCTTACCCGATAGCCACCTACTAGCGTCCGGCTCTTAGGATAAGACAGTATGGCTCTGGGATATAGCGATGGGTAGCATATAGCAGATTCTCGAGGGTCATTTAGACTAGGTTATATTAGTGGCTTTCTTACCCAACGGCCGGCTACTGGCGTCCAGTTCCGATGATAAGACAGTACGGCTCTGGGACATAGCGATAGGTAGCCTATAGCAGACTCTTAAGGATCATTTAAACTAGGCTAGATCAGTGGCCTTCTTACCTAATGGCTACCTGCTGGCGTCCAGCTCTTATGATAGGACAGTGCGGCTCTAGGACACAGCGACGGGTGGTATATATTAGACTCTCAAGGGTCATTTAGACCAGGTTATATCAGTGGCCTTCTTACCTAATAGCCGGCTACTAGTATCCGGCTCTTAGGATAAGACAGTGCGGCTCTGGGACACAGCGACGGGTAGCATATAGCAGACTCTTAAGGGTCATTCACACTAGGTTATATCAGTGGCCTTCTTACCCGACGGCCGGCTACTGGTATCTAGTTCTAATAATAAGACAGTGCGGCTCTAGGACCCGGCGACGGGTAGTATATAGCAGACTCTCGAGGGTCATTCGGAATAGGTTATATCAGTGGCCTTCTTACCCGATAGCTAGCTACTGGCGTCCGGCTCCAATAATAAGACAGTATAGCTCTAGGATATAGCGACGGGTAGCATACAGCAGACTCTCAAGGGTCATTCACACTGGGTTATATCAGTAGCCTTCTTACCCAACGGCCGGCTACTAGCGTCTAGTTCTAATAATAAGACAGTACAGCTCTAGGACACGAAGACTGAGGGCCTATAGTAGACTCTAGAAGGCGATTTAGGATCGGTTCAGTCGATAGCCTTCTTACCCAACGGCCGGCTACTAGCGTCCGGCTCTAATGATAAGAGAGTGCGGCTCTAGGAAACGGCGATAGGAGTCCTACAGCGGACTCTTAAGGGTCATTTAAACTAGGTTCAGTCGGTAGCCTTCTTATCTAATAGCCGGCTGTTAGTATCCGGTTCCGATGACAGGACAGTACAGCTCTGGGATCTAGCGACTAGCGCCCTATAGTAGATACTCGCGTGTAATTCTAACTCGGTTATATCGGCGATTATATCGGTGGCATTCTCTCCTAATAGCCGGCTATTGGCGTCTGGCTCCAATGATAGTATAGTATAGGTCTAGGATACAGCGACAGGAGGCCTTCAGTATTCTTTTAAGGGCCATTGGAGCTCGGCTTAGTCGATTGCTTTCTCGCCCAATGGCCGCCTACTAGCATCCGGCTCCAATGATAGGACAGTACAGCTCTAGAACCCGGCGACCGGTACCCTACAGTAGACTCTCGAAGGCCATTCGGCTTTAGTTCAATCGGTGACCTTCTCGCCTAACGGCCGGCTACTGGCATCAGGCTCTTATAATAATACAGTGCGGCTCTAGGATACATCGACAGGCGTCCTACAAGAGACTTTGAATACTAAGGGAACTGTCAATAACCTCGAATTTTCTCAAGATTGTTCGTATCTATTTACCGATATAGGCACCCTCGATATTCAGTGCGGACATGAAAATTATGCTTCTCATTCTACCTATAGGAACCTGGCGATCTTTATTAAGCAAGGACACTGGATAAATCTAAACGGTAAGAATATACTGTGGCTTCCTCCTAACTTTCGGCCTAGTTATTACGCGGTTAATAGGGATTTACTCGCCTTAGGGCACGCATTAGGGCAGGTTTATTTCATACAATTTAGTATATAGTAAGTATCAATGTTATCCATTTTCCTTCCTCTATTTTCAAATCTCAGAAGAGCCTGAGAGAAAAACAGAATTTTTAGGCCATATAGTGCCGATGGAAAGTACCATTTACATAAATTCAGCAAGTTTCTAAATCCTATATAGTCTATCAGGTTATGGTTTACCATATATCTGGATACCGAGTCAGTAACTAGATCTAGAGTGCTCTACGCTAGCATAAAAGTAAGTATATGTCATACCCTACTAAGCAGCACCCATTTCCTAGGCTAGAGTCTTAGCAGTAGGGCGCAGATCTAACGAAAGAGTATAGATTAGTGAAGCTGGTTTTACACTTCTCTGTATTAATTATAGATAACCGCTATATATATTAGTAAGCGCTGGTAGCGTGGGAAAATCCGTAGGGACATTTGGGTATACACTACTACTAGCGTAGCGCGTAATCGGCCTAGACCACTATAGTAAACGGGCGGGTAAATCCTAGTTAGGGAACCCGCAGTGATTATATAGCACTAGGGCGTTATGGCCTATTAGAATTTCGCTCTCAGTACTACTCTTAATATATAAACCTTTCTTTCTAGTGTGCTACTTATACCCTTCTATTTCTCTATTTGGGTTTATATAATTGTTTCCACTTAACTCCGATCATATCGGATAGTGTAAGAGAGCAGATAAATCTTAACAGTCCCCTACTACCACTACCACCCAAAATTCCTGGCTCAAAAATCTCTAGTTATATCTTAAAACTCAGAACTGCCCCTTTAGATTACTTTTTCTAAGCACCAAACCCACCCCAGTATATGGACCTGTTCGATACACCTACTAGACCCTATTTCTTCTATGGTACGTTGACCGATCTGTCTATGGTTCGTGAGATTTTAGGGCTGGAAAATGAGCCCAAGCTGCGCCCAGCACATTTATCGGGCTATAAGTATATATTGCGGGGGTAATACCCTGTACTATTAGATGCTCTAGACTCCGTTATCAAGGGCGCAGTATATCATATTAGAACGGTTGAATATAGGGAGAGGCTTGCTGCATATAAAATAAAAAACTACCAAGCTAGCCCTTACCGTATCTACTATACTAATAGGAAGGAGCCTACGGACGATATAGGGTATATATTCAAGTTTAAAGGGGATCAGAATAATTTAAGCGATAGAATATTTGACCTAAGGGTCTGGTTAGAAAGAATAGGAAGAGTGGCTACAGTAAAAAACCTCGATACAAAGAAAAGCATAACATAAGGTAGATAATACATTAAATTCTGTCGAAATAGTAATATTATCCCTGTTCAGTGGTAACCTTTAGTTTATCTACAGTTAGATTCACTAGGTTCAAACCCCGTTATATAGTTTTACACTAAGCTCAGAGTTTTATTAAATGTAACTCGAGCTACTATGAAAGGGACTCGGACCAGGGGTTTAATACCTTCTTAGAATAGTGTATAAAAATGGTCGGCGTAAAAGAAGAGAGTACCAAAGCTAGATTCGACATATAGGCTTAAAGTAGAAGCTTAGGATAAATAAGTCTTATCTTATATTCAACGGTATAAAGTAGAAGTAAAGCGCGATATAAGATCAAAGGGCGTTAACAGAACGTACCATATGCCGAGGCTAAGTGCCTAGCCCCACCAGGATGGCAATTAACAAATACCTTCATAGCACGAGCTTTTTCGTGGCATAATGCGCCGTAGGTAGCTGTCTATATCACGGATAACAAAACCTACTGGCTGCAGCAAACACGTATCCTAAATTTCTCTTCCAATTAAGTACGTTTATCTACATCAAATATGAAATCTAACCGAAAGTGCTACTATATGTTCGATCGTAGGTATATCACCTATAAGGAATCCCATAGTGGTCTTTCTATTAAAGGATATGGCTTTTTATCTAGCTAAGTAAAGGCTATATAACCAAGCTAACGCTAGATAAAGGTGGTTATCTACGAAAGATCAGTCTACTTTTATTAGAAGCTCTATAATCTCTGGCTTGAAAATTATACCTAAATCCTATTAAGATAGAAAATTTATAGTGAGTTTGAAGCTCAACTAATAAAGTCTATATTCGTTACACTTTTGCATTTAAAGCTAGCCCTAGTATTTCGAGAAAAATTTAGCTTTTAAGGCTAAGCCTAAACTTATACCTATTCTCACCAAGTTCTCTTCTATCTTTCAAATATCGACCTAATTCATAGCTAGAAATTTTAAGCAGAAGTATTAGAAATTAGGAGAAACAGCTTACCTATAGAATGTATTTCCTATATAGAGCTCCCTGCCACATTAAAGATACCTTAATATAGCAGATCTCGTTTATACGTCATCAGAAAGAGAAATGAGGCGCTCTGCGTACTCTTCGAAATGAGTAAATTCAGCTTTTACCAGGCTAATAATAGAGTTTACTGCTAACTGGAGATCCAAATTTTGATAGTATGCAATAAGTGGTACGATATTATCAATATGGCCCGTGGCCTACTCTTATCTTAGCTACCAAAATATGTAGAGGGTCTTAAGAAAGGGCAGTTTACAAATTCAACGCTAAATAAAAACAGGTCATTGATACTTTCAAGTGGACAGTTAGATTAGTAGGGTTAAGTAATATAGGATTATGGCCTTACTAGGATATAATTCTAGCCACACAGTCTTTCAAAATATATATTACCTTATGCCCTGCGATCCAAGCGGGAACTTCAAAGTCATTGGCGTATCTAAGAGATATTAGTTAAGGACTATATAATAGAGAACCTTTCATAACGTACTCAAACAAAGACATTATTAGCTTTATAGCGGACGAATATTTTCGAATTCTCCAATATTCATTAATACTTGATATACTCTCCGATTCATGGTAAATTTGCATGCCCTATATAGCGTGAACGCTGTCTAATAGGTCATCCTTAAACCGTTATACACATTCTCGTTAAATATTAGCCTAGAGACTTAAACTCTGGAGGAGAATAAACAAGAATTAAGGAGAAAGCATATATACCATTACTATACGCAGCCCTGATTACTTTACCTATATCACTGAAGCAGTTAACTGTATCCCATTTAGAACTGAAGTGAGTTAGTGCTAAGGATATATTATTTATTGGCATACAAGTCTGTAGACAAGCAATCATATCATTGGTATACCTAAGCAGTCTAGTATTATCAGCAGTTAGTAGCCTACAATCAATAACTAGAGATAGCAGAAGTCTATTAGGTTAAAAAAATCGGGAAAGAGGATAATTTATTACTATACCATTATCATATAAGAACTCCTACTTATATATTAGCTTACTGGGCCAAGTCAACTTCATATAGGAAACTCTAGGTCGTAACCCTTACCTAGACTATACACTTTAGAACAGTCAAATATCTATCTATTAGGACGTCCGGGAAAAAAGTGGTACCGATAAGCACTAGGTTTCTAGCAATACATTTGCGTTATAGCTTCTTATCTTTGATCTAACTATACCGGTTAACCTACTGCAGTCTCATTTACGAAGGCAAATACACTAAGTCAACCAGTCATACAATTGCCTCGTCGATTTTTCGTGATTTTTATTTAATTTGGGTTTCTAGCCAGGAAGCAGGCAATATAGGTCTAGTAAGGTATACTCCTAGCCGTTAAGCTTTTCGAGAAGTTTCTGCTTAGGCGATCGAGGACAACCAGAGTCCTTAATTATAATCATAGGGGTTATAATCATAGGGCCTAGGAAAGATAAACGGCGACAAGGTGTTATTTTAGTAAATAGATAGTCTTTCGAGTCTACTGGAGGATGCTAAGGTATTTCTTATACGTCTTCCCCTTCAAACGTCGGTGTATTGGCTAGGCGTGATGGTAGGGGCCCATAAGTCATCTAAACAATACAGGGTGCCTCAGCTACTCCACCTTCCTATAAATAAGGATTGGAGCGGTAAGACCATATACTTCGATAATCCCTAGAAGCAGATCACCTTAACAGACCCACAAAATGCTATAGCATTTTTCTCTCTAGGCACCTATCAACTATTAACCCTATAAAGCCTACCTTATATCTCAATTCTGTCATAAGTACCCTAAGACAACTTCACTCTAAATTTCAGTCACACATTTTGTAAGATACAATACTTTTCTTTTCGAAAGCCCTCTATTAATTTGGCGCTTTCTATATCTAAAGTCTTCCCACATGATCACTGACCAATTAGGATCATACATGGTCATAAGTGGATGATCTTAAGAGGTAGACTAGATAATATATCATAAGACCCATAATAAGTGAATTTTCGATTGCAGTTATAGTACTAACGTATGCGTTATATAACCGCAAACAATTTTGCGCCCGGGAATAATCTATTATTGGGCATCAGTTCATACAGACCCCGTAGTGATACAGCAAATTGATATAATATTACCAACCCTTTATTACATAGCTCTGCCTATTATGCGTTATATAGCCCTAAAGTCCTTTTAGGCTTAATGATAAAATAGAGTAAAGTCCACATCTACTAAGGATAATTGCCCTTATATCAGCTACACTTACTTTACTCGTTATAGTCTC